TTACATACTTTTATCTATTCATATAGGTAATTATATGTATGTCCGTGACATCCTAATCAAACTTTAAATCTTAAACAAACTCTTAACAAATCCTATAGTAGATTGAAACATCAATATTTAATGATATAATTGTTAATATTAGTTAAAATTTTGTTCACTTCTTAATAACTTAGATAGAAATAAGTATAAGAAAGATAAAATTGATTTCACTTACCAATTGAAAGAAATATAAGATAATCCAATCAAATGTTGGATGGCCTCCTATTTCAACATGAATGTTAAACTTCCAGTGCCAACATTTTCTTCTTGAAATATTGAATAAATCTCAAATTTCACTCAAATGTTGCAAATCAAGTCTAATATCTATATAATTTTTTTTTATTTTAATCCAATTGAAAAATTAATAAAGATCTTAAAAATACTCACTGACCTTCAAACTCTAATTTCTAAGACCTCAATCTAGAAGAACCCTCATATACTTCAATCTAATCATTTGATTAACTTCAAAATTTGAATAAAAATTTATAATTAATACATCAATATATTTTCCAAATTTTATTTGTACACATACTACAAAACTTAAAGAACTCTCAAATTTGTAAACATATTTTTATTTTTCAAACTTTATTCCCACCAAGAATATCACTAATTTTGAAAATTCTTCAAAATCTCAATATTGGTTCAAATGATATGAAACCAATACCTAAGAACCTTTCTTCAAGTTTTCTCTTAAATTCTACTCTCCAATTTATTAAAGAATCTCAAAGTCATTATATGGATGTAGTTTTGTGCCTTGGAGTCTGATTTTATCTCAAGTTGACAACATGTTCTTTCCCGATATCAATTTTAGGTAATGTTAAGTAAGTTTTATTTTAACCTATTTTTAACTCTCTTCTAAATATTTTTATATAAATTTCTTATTGCATTTATTTTGATTTGGTTTATTTATATCTCTATAAAGTAAATAGAAGTTTCTTCTATAAAAAGTAATATTAAGACTAAATCTTACATTACCTTTCTATTATTTATCTTTATTTTTCTACTACATCTGTATTTTTTTTTATTTTTTATATAGTCATGTTATCAAATGACAATAGAAATTTATTCTAAAATTGAATACCATGCAAATATAACTAATGTTATCTTAGTAAATATAGATCAATTATTTGATATAGAAGTAAAGGTCTTAGAATAGTATGGAAATACAATTTTGGAATTTTTGGCTTAAGGATAATATTTTGCTTCAAAAGATGACAATTCTATTATAGATTATTTTTTTAAATACTATGTAATAAAAAACCTCTCTAGTCAGAAAATAAAATCTATAGTTGACCTAAGATCATGTGAATTACTAATTCAATCAAAGTTAGCATATTTTTGTACCATGTTGCACTACTCTTTTATTGAAAAAAATACTAAAATCCTTAGTACTTCTTATATATCTTTGTGTTTGTTTTGCAATAAAAAGATGAGGTAATTGTGGTTTATGCATAAATCTCTTATATATGTTTGTAGAAAAATTGATGTTAAATCATATAATAGTGAGATGTAGTAGGAATTGTACTAGTCCTCAATAGAATATGAGGTCATGTTTTTTCTCCTTCATATTTGTGGTAAGTTTATTCTACTCATTTATTAGCATAATTATTGGTTGGTAGTGCTTCATATTGTATGTTTCAAGAATCTTCCTTAAATAATTCTTTTGGCTGGAAAAAAATATCTTTTTCTATGCAAATACATTTTGCCTTCAAATAGATTAGTATATCTTCTTTTGAAAGTTTAATCATAGAAAATATTGAATTTAATTTTATCTTAAAAGCTCTAATAGAAAAATTTGAGTTATCAACCATGACTAGGTTGTCCATACATAAGATCATAAGAATGATGTTTAGATCTTCTACCTTGTTGTAGAAATTGTGGTCACCGATACTTAGTTTAAATCCAATCTTTTTGAAAAAATTGTCTCTCTTTGTACCATGATTTAAGAACTTATTGTAAGCCAAAGAATGCCTTACTAAATCTATAAAATAAGTGATATTTTCTTAAAACTTGGAATCTTTTTTGTTGTGTGATGTATACTTCTTCTTTGCATGGGCCATGTAGAAAAGTAGTAATTATATCCATATGTGCAATAGTTTAGTTGTTTTGTAAAATAATGGATATAAGTGATTGTATTGTTTGATATGCTAATACAAGTGTAAAATTTTCTACATCCATCCCCTCTTATTATTCAAATTCTTATACAATAAGTCTAGATTTATGCTTTTGAACTTTACTTGGAGTTGGTTTTATTCTTGAGAATCCAATGAGTTGAGATTTTATTTTTACAAAGAAGAAGTTTTGTGACGTACCATATCTTGTTTTTGATTGTGGAATTGTATTCATCTTTAATTGATTTCTTCTATTTTAGATAGTGCCATGCTTCATCAAAGGTAGTAGATTTCAATTAGATTGTTGATGCTATTCATACATAGTAATCCTTGAATCATCTTAGAGGTTGAGTGGTATGACTTGCTCTTGTGGTTTTTTGTGTTGTCCAACTTAAATTGAGTTAGATCAATTGTTGCTATAATAATCTATTGGATTGTAATACAATTAGATTCTATTTCAAACTTTCTTATTTAGACTTGGTATATATTGTGGGATTCTAGTTTGTGGTCGTCGACGATATTGCATGATGGAATTTTATAAATTGTGGAATTAGGGAGGTAATAGATGGCATCTAATGGAGCGTGATTGAAGTACCAATATTATAGGTTTACTCTCCACTTGGCATGCCAATATTAAGCATATGTTTTCTAGTAATTGTAGAAGATTTTGGATTAGATAAAATAAGTGATAAATTTGATTTTGCTACATCATGTTTATGCTCTATTAAGAAATAAGGATATAAATCTAGGTTTGATGATAGATAATTACTATGATAAAATCAAGTTTTTTCAAAGATTACATCCTTTGAAACAACAATTTAGTTTGTTGATGGTATATAAATCATATAGGCCTTTGAATGATCATCATAGCCAATTAGACTTCCTATAATGGATCTAGATTCTTATTTTTTTTTCACATGAGGATCTATATGCACATGCAAGGAAATTTTGAAAATTTTGAGATGGGTTAGATTTGGACATTTACTAAAAAAATATTTTTTTAAGAGAGACTCATTAACTTTGATTGTTGTTTGATTTAGTGAGTAGACTATAGTTTTAGTTGCATCGAGCGACAATAAAATTGAAATGTGCTTTGATAGTAATATTGTTTTGATCCTTTCAAAGATTGTTCTATTTTGCTTTTCTATACCATTTTGGTAGAAAGTATGGTCTTATATTAGCTATCATAATATACCATGAATCTTATAGTATTTTAAAAATATAATAGAGAGAAATTTGTCACCCCTATTTATCTTCAAACTTTTCATACATTGACTTGTTTGTTTCTCTATAATTTTTTTGAATTTGTAAAATCCCTCAAAAACTTGATTTTTTCTATTTCAAAACATAAATCCACATTTTTCTACTATAGTCATCTACAAATATTATGAAATATTTATTTCTTGCAATTGAAGGGATTAGAAGAGATCCGCAAATATTTGAGTGGACCAAACCTAACAACTAAGTAAATCATGTTGTTGTTTTTGTTGGTATTAATTCTCTAGTCTATTATCCCATGAAACAATATTGACAAACTATAGATTTTGCTGCAAATTTTGGTATACCATAACAGCTATCCTTTAAGGCAATTTTAGTGAGGGTTGGAAATCCTATGTGCCTTAGGTGACAAAGCCATCAATACAAGAGGAAGTTTGGATATTGACTAGATGAGGTTTTTAAGTCTAGTTGATCTACTAAATTTCAAACTACTAAGGTAGGTAGTTTAAAATTATTACTATTATTAGATTGAGTATTTTGGAATCCCATGATGAATTGACTACCATTATAAGTGAATTTACACAATTATGACTTTTCATCCAAATATCCTATTTTTATTAACTTCAAGTATTGGATTCTTATGAGAATTGAATATTATTCTTTGCCAAAAATAATGATGTTGTTGCTAATTATAACAAACTATTCCATCAACATCATGGAATATAAAAAATATTTTAAAGTTTATTAATATTGCATGAGAGTGCATTCTAAAAATAAAATATTAAGTATATATTCTAAATTTTCTCAAGGATAGGTGATAGGGCTAGTTGAAATAATTTTTAAAGATGTGAGTTTGGGTTTTGAAGCAATCTCCTTGTGGTGATGGAATTGGAGCTGACACTAAGTAATCTTGAGCTAGATGTCCAATTTTGTGCCATCTGTGATACTCTATTTCCTCCATTCTCCTTTAAAAGTTGTATCAATCATCTTGCTAAGGGTCGTGAAATACTCCATAACAGTGTTAATATTGGATGGTATTTTTGATGTGGAATACAAGGGCTTCAAATAGACGAAACCAAGATGTGGAATACAAGGGTTGCATTTGTGTGATCGGAGTCTAAAATCTCACTATCGCAACGGTGAAGTGTTGCACAATCTTTCGTGCAAATTGAAGCCAGGCCCATCGACAGCAACATGGCAAATTTCGGCAGATGCGAAAAAAATGCGAGCGGGTTTCGGGTAGAAAGTAGTGCTGCTCATGTAGAACCTGAGGGTTGTTCAAAGGTTAAACACAAAGGGCTCCAGGATGGCTATGGACATGCAGCCACAAGGGAAACCAAACGGCAACCTCAAAACAGACCCAGTGACTCAAATGGTGTTGAACTCTTCACGACCAACTCGTACTGGAAGAAGATACATGAGTTTCCGAAGGCATGAGTGTCAGTTGCAATAGATTCTTACAGCAATCCATTCAAGCCCTAAATACAGGCTTGATAGCTACAGGCTTGCATTCTAACCAACAGACTTAACTTAGGATTAACAGAGTTTATAGACATGAAGAATCATCCTGCACTGAAGCAAGTTTGATTGTGAGGCATATATTGTTGCTGATACAATCTGAAAAAATGCAAATTTTAGTGTACAAAGCAAGAATCATCTTTATTCCGCATAGTTCTACACAACGGCATATCTAAAAGCTAAAAGCTCACACATACCCTTCAGTAACCTGTTCCACACTTAAGGATTGGTCCATTATCAGCTTTGCTGATGGAGAACTCAATCAATCTAGAAGAAATAACCTCAATAAGGCCTTCTTTAGTTCTGGACTCGGCTACAAAATGTAAACGGATGACGGACCCATTCCCACTACTTGGGTCCGTTCAGGTTATCCACATCGTAAAATTCAATCGTCTTGTACTTCTGCGACACAAGCTCGGCTTGGACTTTTCGGGCTGTATCAGTGGCAGAACCTACAAGAATGAGAACAGAGGTGCCTGCAAAGCCGCGGAAAGTGGTCAAATGTGTAACACCTTCAACAAGAAATGGAGCCAAGGCCATGATACCAAGGAAAGCTGATCCAAGCACAGATATGCGCCCCAACGTCTGCACAAGAACACCAAACACGTAAGCAATACCTGAGACATTACACCAGTTTGCAAGGTCGGGGTTCCCTTGAACTGGCGTGACTTCTAAAACTCTTGCGGCATCGTAGAATGCTTTAACGAGATCATTGTTTGAAACATTTCAAGGCCCATTTGTGTGTCTACGAAGTAGTATGACAGTTACACTCTGAAACACAAATCAAGTGCTAAAAATACAACTGCAAAGAAGAGGGTAAACATACAGTTTCAATGAAGGCAGCGGTCGCTTTTCCAGGCCGAACCGAGGGAATGGAGGCACCTTGACGCTTTAATTGTTCACTTACATCCTTAGGATCGAGTTGCAAGAATGTGTAAAAATAATTGAAAAATGCAATCAAAAGAACGTTCGCAGGTAGATACAAGGAGCCTGCAAAAAGCCCAGATAGCACTGTCAGTTGCATGTACATATAAACACACTGTCATATCCTGTGCAATGCTAAAGAAATGCCTTTTACTGCACAAGGACTCGGAGACAAAGCAATGAAAAAATGAAGATTGTCTCAATCATTGTACTGCATTAAAATGGGGAAGTGAAAAAGAACCACCAATCCAGTCCTTACTTGCTTATACGAGCTAACAAAATCAGTTTATCATTTGTTGCTCATTCTGGAGCGGATCATAATAATTCGAATGATCATTTCCTACAGAGCAAGAGGAGAAAAAATTGAGTACCAAACTACGTACCATTAGGATAAAACGCCACGGCCGCATCTTTCAAAAACGAAAGCCCAGTGAACCGTGCTGCAGAGGCAGGGAGGGCGAGCAACGAAGAGGAAAAGATAATCGGCATCACGCCAGAGCTGTTAACCTGCAACAATTAAACAATGCGTAAGTTCATTGAGGATCGATTGTGAGCCAGAGTTCAGCATTCTGAAGTTGTGATTGCAAGAGGTTAGGATAAATCTACCTTGAATGGAAGATATGCAGATTTTCCTAAACCCTTGCTGCTAGCTTTAAACCGTGAGGCGTAGTTAATGGGGATTTTCCTCTCCGCTTCCTGCAGCAACACCAATTTTGCTAGGAAATTAATATCAACACGTATGCTAGCAGCTCATTTATTTGTCAGTTTGTTTGTTTATTTGCAGAAAATCTAAAGGGAAGAAGATACAAAATCGTGTAAAAGAATGATCTCCTACCTGCACATACACGATGCCCAGCACAAGTAGAAGAAATGCTCCAATGCTGCCTGCCAATCCGGGATAGTTGCCATCGTTTATAGCTTGGGCTACAGTCTGACCAATTGACGAAGGCAGGTAAGAGACAATGTTGGTGAAAATGAGCAGCGATGTGCCGTTGCCAAGCTTCAAATCGGAGATTTTTTCCCCGATAGACATAGTTATCACCGCTCCTAGCGTAAGAGCTGCCACTGCTGATATCGCCCATTCAACGGAGAAGTCCATCACATAAGGTCGAATGTACGTAACTTGTCCTACTGCCTGTCACGCATAATGTTGAGTGTACACAAAATGGAGGATAAAATGTTTTAACGAAACATCAATCACGATTGATCCTGAGGAAGGTCTCGGTGTTCGAAAACTAAAGAAAATGCTAATTATAAGGAGCACAAGACACACCTGGATAACACCAAATCCTACTGAAGCCCACTTTGTCCACCGAAGCACCTTCTTGCGCCCAGCCTCTCCCTCCTTTTTCTGAAGATCCTGCAGTTTAGGGAACACGGTTCCCAGGAGCTGCACCACAATCTGGGCATTGATAAATGGTACAATGCCTAACGATGCCAGACCAAGTCGGCCAATACTGCCTCCAGAAAATGTGTTCAATGTTCCCAAAAGACTGTTGGTGTCTATGCTCCCTTGAAAGGCAGAGCGGTCCACTCCCCATAAAGGAATATAAGTCCCAATTCTTGATAAAATTAACCATCCCAATAGAATCAAAAACTTCTCGGGCAATTTTCCCTTAAAAAAATCGCCGAAATCCACACTTTTATCCTCCATGGCCGCTGCGGAAACAAATTGACGGGTTAGTCAATCTATTGGCTGGCCTAAGTAAGTTCTAAAGCGAAATTCTAGGGCATAAAGAAAGTGATTCGTGATAAACAATTTGCGAGTGCAAAAGTTCTTGTAACAACGTTTCAAAAAAGCCCTAATCCTTCTTCAATTAAAAATTACAACAAATGCCTTTCAAACCAACAATTGATGAACTATAGGCAATGCGAGAAGACTCACACTGTTGACATAAGAAGTAACAACAAGTAAGTAAATTCTTTCAAGGTATGTGAAGAAATGAAGAATTTCTTGTAACGTAGTGTCACTCTTCAAGAAAGAAAGAAAGAAAGAAAGAAGGAACAAAAAGTTAAATAAAATAAAAACCAATGGATTTCCAACGTCTGTTTATCCGGTCTACTTAAATTCCAATCCACGCTCGCAGCAGCGCACAAGAGAAAATGGAATCTGAAGCGTTGTGATTGAGAGCAAACCTGCTGCGCCTTTGGACGAACTGCCAGACCCCGACCTCGACATCATGAACGCAGATTGAATAGCATTCCAAGAAAATGATTGCGAATCATCTTCGAGGCCCAGAGGATCAAACCTCCAGTCACCTTCCGAGCTCCCCTCTCTGTCAACCGCGAGAGCTGCCCTGCAGCTGAATGCATGTCTGGCTCTCCACGGTCCCACCTGGAATTTGTTCCCACTATCCAAACTCCGCAACCGAGCGCCATGAAACGAACTACGCGCTACAGAGCTCCCGCAAATTACTCTGTTAGCCGCACTTGTGGAGACGAGCCCCATTACAGAAGCCATTGCCATACTCCCCCACACCTCAGTTACGCCTATCGACTTGAAACTATTTCCTCATGAGCAGGCGCTCCACCTTATCCCAACTTCTGAGATACACTTCCAAGAAGAAAAAAAAAAACACAAAAACACAAAAACAAAACAAAAACAAAAACAAAAATAAAATTCGGAAACCCGCGCGTATTCTCTTAGAAAAATTTGTGAAGTCTATGGCTCAAAGAAGAGCTAAACCGTAACTGATGGCTATCGAATAGAACACAGCCCTGCGGGCAAGCAATCCACCGCAGTAGAAGACCGATGGTGATTTGCAAGCACAGCCTTCGGAGACAGGGGAGGATGGAAAAAAGCTTGTGTGTGGATGGGGTGGGAGAACCACGGACGAGCCCTGACACCTGGTCCGGTTGTCTGAGGTCCGGGTATCTGGGTCCGGGTATCTGGGTCCAGGTATCCGTATCCGGATATCTTGACGTCCACGTGGAATCAGAATTCCTGCCCCATGTTTAATTAAGTTGTGGATGTCGGTGGTAATAAGATTACTTGTTATCGAAAAGAAGACCATCTTACACAACAAAAAACTACATTATTTGTTCCGATTCAGGAACATGATTTTTTAACGACTTTTCTATTTTAATTAACACTACTCAAAATTAACATTAAAAATTAGCTGCAGAATGATGTGTGTTTGTTTCTTTCTCTTTTTCATTCAAGTTTTGAGTAGAATCCATGATTTTTTTTTTATTATCTTTGAGTGTTATTTTTTTCATTTATTTTTTTTTGTATAAAGATCTTGATTTATATACAAAATTTAATAAGATTAATGTAACAAATCTAGATCTATATTTGGGTGTGTGAATATGTACATATGTGACTATATATTTGTTTCAGTAATGTTAAACTCAAAAAACTACGAGGGCTTGGCTCTTACTGTTTTAATGTGTTTATGAGACATATATATAGATATATATATATATATATATATATATATATATATATATTTTCTTTTCATAACCAAATTTCATTCATTTAATGAGTTATGGTTACCTGTCAAGGATAAGAACATAATAAAGAAAAATAAACAAATGAGACTTCTTTCAAAGAAAGATGACAAAATAGAAATAACTTAATATGTATATTAAAAAAGAAACTGGAATGGCTATTGCCAAAAGACAAGAAAACTAAAGACCGTTGAAACAAGAAAAAAAAGCAAGAAAGAAACGAAGCAAGAAAGGAGTTGACAAGAGTGAAGAGGGTTTCACTCTTGTCTCTATATATACTATCTAACTAGGGACTATGTGGCGACGTTCTATAGGACCTCCAATATGTGTTGACTTTGTAGGACACATGCCTTGACTTACAAGGAAAGTTTTTTTACATGTGGGCTACATAGTTAACTTGGTCTTCAAGTTAACAATATGTATGGCACATGGCCAACTTGTTGACCACGTTTCTAATCCAAAAAGTCAATTAAAGACACCTATAAAGTCAAAAGAACATCTATAAAGCTTCTAGGAAGCTTTCATATCAAATACTATAGAATTAACTTACTTTTACCTATTTTTACTTACTTCTATTTATTTATACATGTAATTATTAGCTTATATGTGTATGTCCGTGACATTACTCCCCCTTCTAGGAACGAATTCCACGAGGAGCGATAATCATATGTTGATGAAATCTATGATGCGACAAATTATATTCGCCACATACTTTGATCTTTGTTCTCTTTGAAGATGATTCATAAGGCCTCTCAACCATCCGTAGTATCCCATACCAAGGCGGGAAGACCACCCAATCATTTGATCATTGTTGAGGCCTTCATAACTTCCTTCGAGTAAAACATTTGGAACACCATTAAGAATTGTTCCTACCTCTAATAAAATCATCTAACATTGGCAGTCCCTTCCAAAGTCGTGATACTAAACGCATTGTATTTTGCCATCTATTCGAGGAAGAACATGTCGTTCTTGAAGATCTTCATCTTGATTGTATCATCTTGAAGGTTGACACAATCGTAATGTATCATCTGGTAGGTCAGCAAACGAAGGCTCTTGAGTCAAATCTGCTGGTTGTTGGTTCTGAATGTCCTGAGCGTCACAACTACAAAGAAGATACAAACAATGATTGAAAGTAGAATGATATCTTGCCTAGATATTGTTTCTTTTATAAAGAAGATTTTCATCTTGATTTTGATGGATGTCGTCGATGAAAAGCCTCCATTGCCTTTGCTGCATTAGCAAGATTCTTTACTAGCTCCCATATGCATTCAGTAATATCATATCCACGCCAATGGACAAGTTATTCAAATTTATTTCGGCGCCATCTTGAATCTAAGACTTCTCCTACTTCAAACTCTTCATTATTGTCTACTTCTATAGGATGAGGTAGAGCTTGTCTTCTTCTTGGTATGTCCACTGACTTGTATGGTTCAAAAAGAGAAACGTAGAATACTAGATGGATTTTCATTGACTTCGATAGGTATAAACGATATGCAACTAGATTGATTTGTGTAGAAATAGAAAATGGTCTAAGCCTTCGATAGTCCAACTTATCACAAAGACGAGTGGTCTTCATATTGCGACGAAGTAACCATATCTTACCACCCATGTGTAATGGTGGTTGTTCCTTTTGATAGACATCTGCATTGACCTTTTGTTATTCTTGAGCTTCTTATAACTGAGCCTTTATTTTTGTATGTAGCTTTGACAAATGATTTGCCAAATCTTTTGCCACAAGATTATCAACTTTTGAAAAAACAAAAGTATCAAGTCATGGATGATAACCATAATTGGCAAAGAAAGGTATTTTTTTTGTAGAAGAATGTATCATGTTATTGTAAGCAAACTCTGCCAATGGCAAGAGAGTTGTCCAATCAACTTTTTGGTAATTAATGGTATATCTTAAATACTGCTCCAAAACTTGATTACCATGCTCTGTTTGTCCATCAATTTGAGGATAGAATGCCGAAGATAGTTTTATATTCACTTTTAGAATCTTAAAAAGAATTCGCCAAAATCTTGATACAAATTGAGTTCTTCTATCTGATATAATATTCTTGAATAATCCATGATAGTGATAGATATTGTCAAGAAAGAGCTTAGTTGTTTCTTTACTTGTGATAGATTTTGTACATGGTACAAAATGTGCTATCTTGGTAAAACGATCTACTATCAAGAATATAGAGTCATAAGAATCTGAGATTGGAAGATCTGTGATGAAATCCATAGAAATAGAAGACCATGGTTGTTCTCGAATGGTTAATGGCTAAAGAAGCCCGTAAGGTTGATGACAAGGAGTTTTTGATCTTGAGCAAACATCACAAGATTGTATAAAATCTTTGACTGCTTTCCACATGTAGTGCCACCAAAAGTCCCTGGATATTAGTTCCAAAGTTTTATTATATCTAAAATGTCATACTGCTAGAAAGTCATGACGAGCTTGAAGAACACATAATCAAGCTTCATCTTCTAGAACATATAGGCGTCCTTCAAAATATAGTAGATTTTTCTTGAATTCAAACTTGGAAGTATCATGAGACTTTGAAGGATGTTCCTTAATATCACGAATAAGAGGATGAGAAGACATAATTGATTGAACTTGCTTAATGAAAGTTGAATCAATAGTTAGTGCTGATTTCATTGCTCAAAGATGAAGATGCTCTAACTTCAAGAGAATTGTTCGTTATTGATCGCAAGCAACATTTCCTTCCTTTGGTGTAAAGTAAAATCGTCTAGAGAGTGCATCTGACAAACCTTGTTGCTTTCCTCATCGATAAGTGATCTTGAATTCGAATTTTGATAAAGACATACTCTAACAGGGTTGGTGACGATTCAAAACACGTGCTGACATAAAATATTCAAGGTTCTTGTGATCCGTATATTCAGTGATTGGATTAGAAGCTCCTTCTAGATAATGGCGCCATTCTTGAAATGAATCCACGATTACAAGAAGTTCTTTGTTGTGGATCTCGTAGTTTATCTCGGCTGCTGAAATTTTTTTGGAATGAAAAGATATTGGATGAAGTTTATCATCTGTTCCCATTTGTGATAATACGACATCCAAAGCAAAGTCTCATGCGTCTGTTTCTATAAAAAATGGCTCAAAAAAATTCATGCAATACAAGATTGGTGCAGAAACAAAGGCTGTCTTCAAAGCTTCAAATGCTACTTCTGCTTCTTGATTCCATTGAAGTTTGTCTTTGCTAGTCAAATGTGTAAGTGGAGCTGCAACTTGAGAGAAGTCTTTGATGAAGATTCGATAGTAGTTGGCAAATCCCAAAAAGTATTAGACATCTCTTACCATTTTTCGGATCTTCCAATCCATAATAGTTTGAACTTTTTTAGGATCCATCATAAGTCCATCATTTGAAATGATGTATCCTAAGAAGTCGACTTGAGTAGTGTGAAATACACACTTTTCTATCTTGGCAAAGAGTCTTGCATCTCTTAGTTTTTGTAATACTTGGCAAACATAAAGTTCATGTTCTTCTGTATTCTTAGAATCGATTAAGATGTCGTCTAGGTAACAAACAACAAAATCATCTAAAAACTCCAGAAAGACATCATTCATTAGATGTTGGAATGTTGTTGGTGCATTCGTAAGTCTAAAAGGCATGACGTTGTATTCAAAATGTCTATACCTTATTCAAAACGTAGTCTTCTATTCATCTCCTTCTTTGATGTGTACCAAATTGTATGCTCCCCATAGATCTATTTTTATATAGATCTTAGCTTGATTCAATTGATCAAGGAGTCCAAATAGCAAAGATAGCGGGTACATTTTTTAGATGGTGATTTTGTTGAGTCCTCGATAATCAACATACATCCATAATGATCCATCTTTTTTCTTCACAAATAGAATTAAAGCTCCTACTGGAGATTTGGAATGATGTATGAAGTTCTTAGCCAGATTCTCTTCAATATACTCTTTGAATTCAGCCAACTCATTTTGTGATAAATTTTAGATTGGTCCAAATGGTAGTTGTGTTCCTTCTTAAAGGTTGATTGAGTAGTCATAGGAACGATGTTCTGGAAGAGTATCCACATTTTTTTTCTCAAATACATCTTAAAAATCTTGATATTGGCTTGGAATGCCACTTGAAGTCTTTTCACCAGTAGAAACAGGTGTAGCATAAATGACACAAGGTGATCTTTCTTTTGCAGCATACAAGAAAGTACTTGTACCTACAAATATATGTTTAATTATACTAGACTTATGACTTTCTACTTCATTAATTACACTCTTAGTTATACTTTCAGAAAAGTCAAGACTATGAGAAGTCCAATCTATTTTAGGATTATATTTTTCTAGCCATGATAAATCTAAAATGATTGGATTAGAAAGAGATCTAATGATATTAAATATTACAAAGCTACTATGACCATTAGTTGTTATTTCTATAGGAAGGGTTTCATGAGTAACATCTTCTGAAGATAATGGATGACCATCTATGACTTCTACATGAACAAGTTTAGTTTTTTTTACTAAAAATATGCTATGTCTTTTAGCAAATTTTTCATCTAAGAAACATGCTGAGGCTCCTAAATCTAACAAGGCAAAGGCTTTGAGATATTTAGGTCCTAGAATAACATTTATTATAAAACATGGAGAGGGTTCTAAGGAGAGGATAGGACCTTTACTAGGCATTGTACAAGGTTCGAGCCCCACGGTCCCTATTGTAGCTGGACGAATTTGTTTTCCGACATGCTATCTTCTTTGATCGTCGTACTCTTCATTTTATGGTTGCGTTGCTTCTTTGGGCAATGTTGAGCAGTGTGCTTAGGTTCTCCACAATATAAGCACAATCCTTATTGACGACGACGAGTTTTTTCTTGCTTAGCAAGAGGTTTGAAATGTACTACATCAATTTATATATCCTCTACTTCCGAACGAATGTATTGAAGAGATGTTAGTGTTGCTATTGAATTATAGTTACGTTGAGGTCCACTTGTATGGTTCTCAAATCGAAATTCAAAAAGGTGATTGTTGCACTTCACAACAAAGTCAATTGCTTGACTCAATGTTTAAGGATCAGGTAAGTTGAGCATTAATTTTTTTACCTCATATTGTAATCCGTAGAGAAATTGGCTAACAAGTGCAGCATCATCCCACTTGATATCAGTTGCAAGTTGTCAAAATTGTAAAGCATACATCGTTACTATTCGATTACCTTGTTGTAAAATATAGATCTTATTGGTTGCAACACAAATTGCATCATATTTTCCATATATGGATCAAAACTTTGCCAAAAAAGCCTCTAGATTATGTAATATTGGATCTTGTCGTTCAAGAAAAGATGAAAACTATGATAATGCTGAACATAAAAGAAGCGTACCAATGAATTTAACTTGTGATCCTAGAGTTGGATAGCTTTGGCGTTGAAGTTCAATCACAAGTTGTACTTGATTGATAAATCCTCTAAACTTTGATCTGGTGCCATCAAACTTCTAGAGTATGGCAATTCTTAGTTCTTTAACACTGGAAGGGCGTTCCACGATAGGATGAGGGATATGATTTGGTGTAGATGTTGAAGCAGCTCCAATCATTTCTATATCTTCACTTCCTGCCAATCTTGTTGCTCCTTATCGTGGTAAATTGAGTTGATGCATTACAAGCATTAACTCCATCAATTGCTCTTGCATTTGTGCCATTGCACTCTTCATTTCAGCAAATTCTGCGATGATAACACTTTGATAAGTGAAGATGTCTAATATCGCTCAAGACAATAAAAGAGAGGACTTGAGAACAAAGAAAATACTACAAAAAATATCAATTTAGAAGAGGGTAATCTGCAACTTCTAATATGCTTATATCTTATCAAGAAAAAGGAGTAATCTACTTTTAATAAAGATTAGACAAAGCTCTGATATTGTAAGTGTACTCTTGTCAATCTGTCAAGGACAAGAACATAATAAAGACAAATAAAGAAGTGAGACTTCTTTCAAAGAAAGATGACAAAATAGAAATAACTTGATATGTATAATAAAAAAGAAACTGGAATGGCTATTGCCAAAAGACAAGAAAACTAGAGACCCTTGAAACAAGAAAGAAAGCAAGAAAGGAGTTGACAAGAGTGAAGAGGGCTTCACTCTTATTTCTATATATACTATTTAATTAGGAACTATGTGGCGATGTTCTATAGGACCTTCAATATGTGTTGACTTTGTAGGACACATGCTTTGACTTACAAGGCAAGTTTTTCTATGTGTGGGCCACATAGTTAGCTTGGTCTTCAAGCTAACAACATGTGTGGCACATGGCCAACTTGTTGACCACGTTTCTAATCCAAAAAGTCAATTAAAGACACTTATGAAGTCAAAGCAGCATCTATAAAGCTTCTAGGAAGCTTCCATATGAAATACTATAAAATTAACTTACTTTTACTTAATTTTACTTACTTCTACCTATTTATACATGTAATTATTGGCTTACATGTGTATGTCCGTGACATTACCTTATTGTAAGAAAAGTTTATTTTGTTCAAAATATAATATACCTCACAATTGATTTATCTTTTGTATTGATATACAATTGAAATTTTCATTCACAAAATAAATATAAAGAAATTTTTCAATCAACCAAAGTAAAGCTTAAATCAATCCACTTTTGATCTTATTGCCTTATATTACATTTTGACTATTTCACTCATTCATTAATCAGGGCAAAGACGACCTAAACAAGGCTTTTATCAAGATGGATGTCAAGGACATGAATCTCAAAGAAAGAAAATCTCAATGCACTTTTATGTCACTAGAAAAGACTAGGAAATCCTTCAAAGATGGTAATATATTGAACTAGAATGGCTATTACTAAAGATAAGAAGACTAGAAAGTGTTGAAATAAGACTAAGGATTAGAAAGGCTTCATTCTTGCTTCTATATGTACTATCTTAGAGCTACATGGCAATGTTCTATACAACCTCCAAAATGTGTTGACTTTGCAAGACACATATCTTAACTTGCAAGGTAAGTTTGCTATATGTATGCCACATAGTTTGTTCTGCAAGCTACCAACATGTGTGGTATGTGTTTAATTTATTGACTAAGTTTTTAACTTACTAATTAATTACAAACACATATAAAAGTCAAAGTAGTATCTATAAAGATTTTAGAAAGTTTCTTTAGAAGATATTATAAAATAAATTTACTTTTACCTACTTCTATTTAGTCATAAAAGACAAACATTAGAATAAATATGCATGTCCATAACAATGGATTCCATTCATTTCACAAAAGCCTAACATTTTTCCAATTTTATTGTCTTCAATACCTCTCTTGCCTTGCATAGGAAGGACTAAAATTTCTAGAAATTTAACAATTATATATGTATATATATATATATATATATATATATATATATATTATTACATTCCTCTCATTATTTAATACATTTTATTTTAATGAGTATCTCTCTCAATACAAATGACTCGTTTTTGCAATCTAATTCCCACTTTATTCACTGAAACATGCATTGCTATTTATAATAACGAAGCTTAAAATGAATGGAAAGAAGAGAATGTTGCAAACCGCCTTTTCAATCATCATTTCTTTTTGGCTCCCCACTTTGTTCGCTCTTTCTTTACCCTTTCCTTCCTTCCGGGTCTTTTCATCTTTTTCTTCTCCCCGTCTCGAATGTCATGGTTCTCCTTCGCGCATCTTTCTCTGTGCTAGAGAACTCGGAGTGATGCACATGCGTGCAGTTGCGCTGCTTTGCAACCATTTTTAGGGTGTGTCTCTTTGATCACCTCGAGCATCACGAGGAGTGGGATTGGAGTTCTTTTTGTAATTGCAGAAGAGCTTCACATCTCTCACTACATGCTCCGTGGGCTTAGGAACTCCTCGTTGTTAAAGTTTTGGAACAGGCGGACGAGTCTTGTTGAGATTGAGTCCTTGCATCAGAACTTGTGAACCAGCTAGTCCATTGTCTCAAGCATTCCAGATTTGATGCAGTTGTGTCATTGCCTAGATAGAATGCCGCAATTCAGGTCACCTGGTCGAACTCGATACGTGCTTTAAAGGTGTGCCTCAATTGTGTTTTCAGTCGGAAGGCAAGGGAGTTGAGCAACGCACCTGCTCTTCTCCCGGAATGGCGAATTCGACAATGCTTCGCTTGCCTCATTCTCCCTTTCTTTTGCGATCCTCTGGCTCCCCCATTCTCGCTACATCACCGCCTAATTTTGTGTGTAAGCTCTCTACGTCTAATTCCTTCACACTCCTCTCTTGCTTAATTACGTTTATGGATTTCCAGTTAAGCCTGACAGTTTGCTTGGTTACCTGGCTTCCTTTTGCTACCAGGCTTGTTTGCGTCGCCTCCACGCTCCAGGTTTGCAATCCAAATGCTAGCAACCAGGATCTTTTGTAAATCTCTGCTTCGCGATGTCAAAGTAGAGGATGACCAACCGGATTGTAGTTTCCAGCTCCCACTGCTCACAGATCACCAAGGCGCCCCCCATCCAATCTTGTGCCTTAGTAACGGCCACGGGGAGGATTCCATAGCTGCATCTATTCTTACACAACTCATGGTATGCCCATGCTCAATTTCTCTTTTATACGAAGACATTTAATCTATACACACTTTGTTAGGTTGAGGAACTCATAATGGTGGTTGTCAAGGCAGATCTTGGTGCACTCAGATGTACATTACTGCCATGCTTCAGGCGCTTGGAGAAGAAAGTGAGATGGACTTGAAAATTGAAGCATTGCCTTTAGTCGGCGAGGGCCATACATATCGTCGCAGAGGGATTGCAACGCTAGGCCCCGCCAAGAATATGCCTAGTGGCGGGTAACATTTCTCACATCCCTAAATCTGTGGCTGTAATTTTGTCAAAAATATTGTGGACTATTGCGGTATTCGAATATTTTTAATGCGTGTCTTTTTCGCTGGATCTGATGCTTAGATTTTATCTAATCCTGGACATTTCGATCGGAGATTTGATCGATGTTAGAGAAGCCTCTTGGACATATTATATACCAATGGCATGAAGATGTTGGCAGGTTTATATACATGGACCTTTCCCAGCTGATCGGGGATGTCCGAGCAGGTCTATTATCACTTGTGCTTGAACAGGTAGTCGCTGGGTCTTTGAAACTTTTGAAGCTCGCTAAATTTAGTTCTTGTCATATCAACATTTGAATGTACGAATCAGCTGTCTGACCATAATCTTGCTGATTATTCTTTTTCTTTTGAAGTACTATTGGATGCTGAATCTTATGGTACTCATGTGGTCCTAGAGCGTGTATTGTGCTCGGTTTAGAATTTTCGTATCGTGGTTAGCCAGCACAGGTACATTACGCGTGTTTGATCATAGTTAAGGAGATAAGGTATACGAATTTGAAATGCACACGTTTTCTTCACGTTGAACTCTATCTAGCTTCTCAGCTATTTAACAGCAGAATAACCTCGTCTTCACCACAAATCTCTCTAACGGTTACCCCGAGTTCTTGAAATAGATTGTTCATGTACGCATGTGACCATTTCAGCTCGGAAAATTGACTCATGGTCAATTTCACAAATGATGTAAAACAAATGGAGTAGTTGTGCTAGAATGTGACATCCTGCTTGCTCTTTCACCTTTTGCAGTCCTGCTTCCTTGCGCATTCGTGTTGTGTTGAGAAGCGATGTCCCTCTCTTATACATGTAATCAACGAATTATGGTTCAGCGAAGATGAAGTTTGTCGTAACTTTCAGGTGGTTGCCTCTATTTTCGCAATTTGATTAGACAACATTGCAACGGAGGCAGATCCTGGTTTCCTTGAGACCTGAGGCCTGGATTTGAAATGATGTGCATCAAACTATTAATACTTCCAATGAGCAGTAACCGAAGCCTTGAAGAGCAAAGTTCACAAGTAGATAACCAAGTTAACATAGATGTTCCTTTAGCCACCGGGGTTTGGTGAAGCTTGAGCCAGTACTGCGGGTACGGCTGAATTTGTGACGCTCTTCGTGTTGCGAGTATCTTCTCAGTTCAAGCCACAGAAATAATACTGGACGACTCTTCTTCCATGAACAGAACAAGCACCTGGTCAAGGAATATTTATTGTGGTTGTCATGGCTGACTTGTAAATGTATTTGAATATATCCTTCTACATAATTTTTTTCGTTTTTCTTTCTACTTTCAAGTCTCTCGCGTTTTAGCTGAGCACTATGAATCCCTGCCGTTAACGCCATTACACATCTCATTACTTATTTGTGAGAACAGTGGGATGTGGTTGCAGATTGGGTAGATAGAAATTCAGGTGGAGTTATTCTTGCTGTAGGGGATGTGTTCCCTCTTGCTCTTGCATGGCTAGCTTCACAGCGACTGAAAAGAAACTCAAGCGTGAACAGCTCATCAAGGTCAAGAGGTTTCTTTGCTTTCGTCGGCACCGCAAAAAGTGAATTCTATGTGCGAGAAGATGATGGCACTCGCCTCAGATCTGCTTGGTTTAGAAATCGTGAGTTCAAATTACCCTTGATAACTGCATATTGGAATATGTGATAATCGCTCACCTACTTTAATTTCTCATAAGCAGGTGCGGAATATCTGTACATTTTTGGCCCACCATCCTTGGGAAGGAATTTTCTTGTAGTTCATGATGAATGCTACTGATTGTTTTCTCTCTGTTTTTTCTTCTTTATTGTTATTTTTATTTTTAATCGTTTTCCTTGTCCACTGTACACACATCTTGTTTATGTTCAGTACTCGAAGATGTCCCCTCCACACTGCTTTTAGAAAAGGATAAAAGATAGTGTTTTCGTTGAAGTTTGCACTGGAACTGAGACTGCTTTCGTGGCAGTGGAGTTGCTGCTTTTCCCAGGGAGTGTGTATTTTCCATGGGAGCGTGCGCTGATGTCGGATTCATACTGCAGGTAATTCCGATTTTGTTTAATCTATGTCCAACAGAGCACTTGCTGCTTGTTCATGTCAAAGAGCACTCTCAAGTGCGGCCTTCATTTAATTTTCAGAACTATGCAAGAATAAGGTTTCATGCTGCAAAGTGATGGCTCTGAGGTTCATTTAATTGCTTTCATTCATGAACTCCACGTTACATTTTTCTTATGCTTCAAATTGTATGTATTTGTAACGCTACGATTAATTATCTTATTGCAGGCTGGTGGTACCCAGAGATAACTTGACTGCTCAGTACCTCCAAAAGTACCTAGCCCAATCTGATCGAATTAAGGTAAGAGTTTTTATTAATTTTACGGCAAAGTAACAAAATGTTCTGTAGCAAGGTGAATTGTGGAAAATATCTTAAATGTATAAGATATCCTAAGAAATGGATGTGAAAGTGGTGCAAAACCATCCTTTTATGTTATGTCACAAGTTGATGACGGTTTCGTTCATTGTCAACAGCAATATTTACAACAGCTTGTAGCATTTTGGTATACATTTCATGTTGTCGTTTCATGTAAGGTGCGTGTGGTTAAGTCCGCCACTTGTTGGACACCTAAACCATGAATCTTTGTACTACGTTGCTTCACTGAAAAGCGTGCCTGCTCCTATGGGTTTCTGGTATATTGACTGGCAGGTTCAAAGTTTAGGAAATCCAATGATGGATGACCTTGAGCCAACTGGAGTGCTTTCCTTTCTTGCGAACTACAAGCCGGCAAAGTTTATTGCTGTTCTTCCAGGGTCCAGAACACCAGAGGTCTTGACTTTTGACCCTATTGTTAATCTTTTTGTATACGGTTTCTGACTTCAATCATTTTGTGTTCGATGAGAACCTATAGCCTTCAGATAGAAAGAAAATTGCACCTCAGAGAAGGATCTCAATTACTTATTCTACTCTATTTTAGAACATGCAGCTAACTTCCACATAGTTTCAAATTTTTGACAGGTTCACAGTAACTGGACACAGCTGTTGGTTGTTGCGCAAGAAGTATCATCCTCTTTCATTCACGATAAACTTGTATTTCTCGTGCCACTTGTACCATCTTTAGAACCAGGTCCATTTATGGAAACGCTTCTAGAAGCACATTGGCAGCCTCATTTGCTGAGCCTTCATGCTTACAACGCTGGGTGAGATTTCTTGATACGCACTGTTATTTTCTTCGATTTTAAAATCATTTGTTGGGATAAATGAAGGCATCCATCTGTTTCTGTCTCAAACTCAGTGAGGATTTTGTTATAAGTCTCTCAAGCTACTGAGCGTTTGTACAAGGATTTGAAATGTTCATTGGGGCATAGTTTCCCGCTCATTGAGCTGGTTTACGATGTTACCTTTTTTTCCTTTGCTTGAAGAGCTTATTAGGAGTTGTTCCAAAATCACGGAGGCTGGGCGAGCCAACCGTACTTGGCTCGTTATTAAAATGCTTGTTACGAATAGCATGAAGACATTGTGAATTTGGCTTGACATTTTTGAGGTACAGGGACGGTTGCTTTATGTTTTCTCTTTGACAGTTTTGATATGTATAATGAAGGGTGGTTCTGATTATTGATGGTGAATTTGGAAATGAAGCCAATCTGTTTCAGCATGGGCTTACGATATCAGGATTCTTCAAGGACCTTTATTGGAAAACCACCGAATTTGGCCTGCTAATAATGGCGCGGCATTGGTAGCATTTGAAAAAGAAAATGCCGTATTCGTACTGATTCGGGGTAACTTCAACGATGTAGCGGATTGGGCAGTGGCAGGAATTGCTATGGCGGGGACTGCAACAGAGCAGCTTGTATGTGTGGAATATCCGTGTTTGCAAGAATGTGTAAAACATTCATGTTATCATCCTCTTTTGATCATCTGATTATTTTAATGCTGGTGTGTCATGATGTTTTCCAGTGATTTTTACTCGACAGAGCCACATGCCAACATTTAGTGAATCGATGTTGCTTGTTCTAATGTTACCGTTCCCATCCTGCATGCAGGTCGGACAAGGAAAGCCTGTCTTCACGATTCCAGGTCGTGGGCCTCAATTCACTGCTGCATTTGCCGAGGCTCAATCACGTCTACTTGGAGAATCTGTGAGTGCAAATACCTGCTGTACAAAGGTCCTTTGCTTTTATATTATCAATATAAGTTTCATGTTAATGGTGGTTGCTGTTAGAATGTTGTCTAACAAGTTATAATACCTCTTCTGTTGGTCTTTCTTGAACTGCACGTTCAATGAATTCAAAGCTCGATCTACAAATGTGAACCGCTATGGAACCTTCCTTGCAGATCATCCTGAATGCGAACGCCAAAGACCTGGCTAATAGTATGAAGGATGTGATGTCCAAGGTCGATCGACTAGCACATATTGCCAGCAACGGTTGCAGGCGAATGGGACAAAGAGGTGCAAGCAAACGAATTTCTCAAGAACTCTGCAGACTGATGACAACTCAAGATTGAGGGGTCATGTTCTTCATACAAAATTTTGAGTCAACTATATCGTGGTCACTGGCTTCTTTTGAAACCTATGTGAAGGCAAGTGTTCGTGAGCAAGTTTTACAAGTCTTTGTTAAACTTGTACAGAAAATTCCACTGTGAACAATTTTTTTCGGAAAGATGACTAAATGGGGGAATCTAATTGATCTTCAGTTTATTGCAATTGGTATCATATATTAACTCAAGCAGGTTCTTGATTGGAATTTATGAAGTTTTCTGTCTGTTAATATCAGAGTAAGTTATTCCCAAATATAGTCTAAACCAGAATTGTGAATTCACGAATTCAACAAGAATTAAATAATAATAATATAATTTAACTTTATAAATTCAACAACTGAATAGGTTAGAACTTCAATTACATGAATTCGACAAGAACTGATCATTACAATATGTTGATTTCATGAACTTTACGAGGACTGACCAATACTAAATCAACATACTTGAATCCACACACCAAATCCTTTGCCCTTGTATCGTTCCACTGCTCTAATTGCACTTGCTTAGGTGAGGTACATTTATCGCTAAATTCGCACCTCAACAACTATCTCAAAAATGGTCAAACTGGTTAAGACCAAGCTTGTTAAACCAGATCTTCGAGCCGAATGGACATGTTTTTTCCAAAATTCATTCCCTGGACTGCCCAGTGAGTTTGCCCTAGCGCAAGCGTTGCATTACGATACCAAATTTTAGCTTAATACTCCCGTTTTTTTCAAGTGCAGAGATTATTTTCTGACCAATTGCAGAAGACCATCTTTGTATCAGGAAGCGAAAATATGTTAACTGGGCAGTGCAGAATTGTGATTAAGACAAGAGGGTGTCGAAACGTATCACCCTTCGATGGAAAGGGTGTATCCTTGTTGCGGGCAACACGGGAGTGATCTTAGTGAAATAAATCCCCACTGCGTTAATCCCAAAAGTATTACAATCAACTAGTCAATGGTTTAAGTCACGCAGAAACCTGCTGAGCTAGATCCCGTATGGATTGGGTCTTAAAGCCATTATCTCATGACATATCGAAGTAATAAAAAGGGTACAAGCAGCAGTGTACAGTCGGTCAAGGAGCCTGGCGACATATAAGACGAGAGCATGCACTACGATCCGCGGATCACCTGACCAAAAAGGGATGCTGTAAGACAGCTCTTTCTGCTCTATGATTTCTGAGCTAGGTTCTAGCAAAGCTGCGTGTTGGAGAGCCCTTAAATTACGTGAAACAAAAAAGGGTACCTCTTTGAAAATTCCTAAATACTCAATAAAACACCTAGTCCTCGGTTTTTTGCTTCTTTTTCTTCTCTTTCTTCTTCTCCGTCACAACAGCCACCGGGGTCGCCTCCTCTGCGCGCTTTTGCTTCTTAGACTTCTTACCATCAGTCGTCGGGGTCACGGGAAGAGCAACAGCAACAGCAACAGCAACTTCTTCATCAGTCTTCTTTTGCTTTTTTGACTTCTTCCCTGTCACTGGAGTGACTGGGGCAGCTTCGGGAACATCTTCGGCAGCTTCGTCTCCGGACTTCTTCTTCTTCTTCTTCTTCTTCTTCTCCTCAGTGGCGGATCCGTTTACAGCGGCTTCTTCGTCATCAGCTGATGCACCGTTTGCAACTTTGGTTCCATTTGATTCGGTTCCATTGGCCTCTCCATCTTTCTTCTTTTTCTTTTTCTTGTCCTTCTTGCTACCATCTGGAGAATCATCAGACAGAAACATCAACTAAAATTGAGTATATGTTACTAAAAAACTAGCAATGATATTGCAGAGACGAATCCCAATTGACACAGAAGAGTAATCCAAATTAAAGCCCTGTAGATATGCATACATAAAATCTTCAGATCAGCGGAAATTTCAACCACGTCGGTTCTCGGGAGCCATTCCTATTTGTGCCAGACTAAATTTTAAATGTCGAAATCCCCAAAATAAGTTAAGGCCATTTCGTAGGGTAGCACTTGCTCAAAATTGCTAATTCGCCTCAAACACGGAATGAAGCCCTCATACCAAATAATTGAGGAGAAGTTAAGTATCTGACGGAACAAAAGTGAGCAAAGCCTTTTAAGAAACTTCTGAAACCAACATGCACAGAACGCGAGGATAATCACGTGGACTGAACCTATGCACCAAGAGTCCGAAGTCTTACTCTCTTCTGCGGCGGGTTCGGCATCAGTCATGTCCAAGTCATCAGCACCATTTGACGTCTCATTCGCGTTCTTGATAGCGTCTTTCATGACATCAATGTTCTTCCTTGGTGCAATACCCTTGTCGTAAAACTCAAGGCGTTCCTCAACCTGCTCCCGCAGCTTCTCTCCGAAGGCACTTGTGTTGACCTCTGTAAAGAGCAGGAATCATCAGAAATTCGTAAGATAAATTAAGTCACGTTGAGATCTCCTCTGTATGAGAAAAGAACACACAAATACACACGCAGACAAGGGGGTAACAGATCCTAACCAGAGAAACAATCGATTCGTGACGCAATTGAGCACTTGTTGGCGAGATAACGTGAAATACGCCCCTTGTTCTTTGTACTAGCTCTACCTATGAAAGAAGAGTGAAAGATCAACCCATACTTCGGGGTGTTCCCTTTCGTCTTCAGCGCTCTGCACGAAGCATATTCAAACTCTATAAGTATCCAAAAACTCAAAGAAACCACATACGAGGCAGCCTAAGCCGTCACGATACTCAAATTACAGAAACGAAAATGGTGGAAGACAAAGCAGTATCGGTCCAAAATAGCCGAGAATCACCTGAAAAGTGCTTTCTCGGCACCCAATATCTGCACGGTTGAAGCAGGATACTTCGCAAGGTTGGTCAAACTTCCAGCATGGGAAATGAGACGAGCTCCGACCATCTCTCCAATCAACACAGCCAGGTTGGGGGCCACATCTTGCATCTTAGACACCAAGTAAGAATGCAGTTGCTTGCGGTACTCCACAAGAGATATCACTCTCGAGGCAAACATTTCGATATTGATCAGATCAATAGGTGAGATGTCTTGACCTGATTGAGTCAAACTATAATAAGAAATCGGTGCTTAACACGCAATTAAGAGTACAAGAATATACGCATAGCAATAAGACCCTGTTTAGAACCTTTTAAATGACACGGAAGGTAACAGTGTTAAGCAAAACGGATGAATTCATACCCATGGATGCTTTGGCAGCTTCAATGACTTCGCGAGCCTTGTCTTCATCTCCAATAACCTCAGTGAGGTCTTCCAAGCTAGCATCAGTAATAGAGGACTTATCCTTGATGAACTTGACGAGCTTAGCGTAGGAGTAATTGTCATTCACAATCTTGACAAGCTCGGGAAAATGCCATGAGTACCACTCACTACACGACAAACAACCCACGTGATGGATTACAATTCCATTTGAGGAACGTATAATGCTAACCATGCAGACAAACATTTGAGCGATTGTTTCACAATCAAATAAGTGGTTGGTACTCAAATTAGGTCAGCGAAGTAAAAACCTACCGAACGCGCATGCAAAATGTGTTGACATCTTTGTCAAGAGTGTCCAACAGACTGATACTTTGAATGATCATGTTGTCTACTCGGTTCACATTGAACTTCACTTTACTGCGACTGTAACTGTGAGCCAGACCTAGTTGTGCTTTCTCAATATCCCCCTCCTGCAAATCCCACAAATGCCTTAAAACTCTGTTGGGAAAGAGACAAGCACATTGTGCCACGAGCTGGTGCGGACTGTTGAAAAATTACATGTTTCCACCATTTACTGTTCGCATACCGCTAACAAACAGAATTGTGATTAGACTAAAAAGTCAACAGAGGGAAAGAGTCAACCCTTACCTTCAGATCCTTAATGAAACGACTGAAATGGAAACGAACACCCCTGAGAAACTCGTTCACATAGTCGTTGCTTTGGCAGGGAATGCTTGTAGCCTCCAAGATAGCCGAACCAAGCTTAGGTTCAGCAACACCGAGACTCACCTTCGCCTTCTTTCCAGCCTTAGCCTTGGGCAAGTTCAACTCCAGAAAATTCTTCAACTCCGCAGTCATGATTCCTACAGATACCAAAAAAAGTACGCAGCAGGATTTTAACATCAATGTCTACGTGCTGAGTAGGCGGTCCCAAAACGACAGTAACAAATACCACCATTGCATTAAAGTGCAAGTGAAATGCGAAGGAGAGATGGAGAAATGGTGAGGTAGAGAGAGACAGCAAACATGCCATCAACCAAGACTTACCTTCAGTAACAGCGTTACATTGCTCCAGAGCATCGGCGGCGGAGGTGAACGGACTAAAAGCCAAGAGCTTGACCACCTTCCCAAACCGATTCAGGTCCATGATGGACTCCTGAATCGCCTCCGCGTTTTGCCCAATTTCGTCCAAGCCCATGGTCTCGAACAACGCATACCCGGAGGCAGACTCATACAGAAGGTGAAGCGTCTGTCAAACAAAACAAAAAAAAAAAAACAACAACCACAGCTCCCAGTTAGCCACACAAAAACCTCTCGCCCAATTTCCAAAACCCCTAAAATCCTTTCAAAGGAACGCAAACAAAAGCACACGAGGAATTCACAATATTACCATTGTTTCGCAATGTGAAGTTCACGAAGAGAGCTCTGGCGTGGAATGGGAAGGAAGGGAAAGGAGGAGGAGAAGAGGGGGATCGGTGCAGCGGCGACGAGGGTGGAGAGGTGACCCGCTCGTGAAAGAGAGCTGGAAGGGGAGTGAGGGGCTGCCCTAGACAACGATCCTGGCCCCGCTAAACCCTAAAACCCTAAAACAGCCTTCCATAGCGACTCGGCCGCCAAAGCCCATTTTGTGCCTCCGTGCCTCGGGTCTGTTCATCCTCTTTTGTGCTTTCATTCGCACGGTGGAGCTTATTCAGTCGTCGGGGTTCTCATCTGGCTGTGGAGGGTTGATGTTTGAACTGGAAAACGATTTTCTGAAGTTGAATAATTTTTTTAAAATAATTATGAATATTCGAAATAATAATAATAATAAACAGTGTGATATGGTATAGATATGTATATATACCCAAGTTTTCACTAAATTGGCCCACTCATTCTATCCATTGTGAAAATAAAAATGACTACTAGATTCATTTCTCTACTATTAAATCTGCAACCAATGAAAACAAACCACATTCATTATGATTATCATATTCTTCATCATGGGTGGGTTGATTTAGTAAAAGTCTAAGTTTATTTAAATTTTTCATATATATATATATATATATATGTATATTTAACAAACAGAGAAATTAAATATGTTCAAAAGATTTATAATGATTATGAGGATATTATTGAATCCAACAAAAATGCATTTCGAAACAATGAAAATTTCAATTTTAATCCAAGAAACAAGGTGGGTTTACTATTATTATTAATAAAAAAATACTCAATATTGGCAAAAGATATTAGAAATGTAGTTGAACAACCTTAAGAATCATAATAAAATCATTGGCAGATATAGATGTGGTAAAACTTTAAATCCTACTCTAACAACATGAATTGTTGAAATCTTGGAGGACTTTTAAAGAACTCAATTTCCTCCCAACAATTAATCTGAAAAAAACATGTCTCCACCTATTAATGATATTCCAGAAGATATATAAAACTACACTGTGATAATTCCTTAATAAAAATAAAAATTTAAACTGGATTGAATATCAAATTGATAACACCACTAAAAGCACTTTACTTTGTATGAATGTAATATCAATATGGTATCTAAGATAAGTATTGAAACATGTATTATGCTTCAAGTAATGTAATCGATTGTATTAATAATGCAATGTTTTAGATTAGATTAGATGTTGTACAATTCAAATTAAAAATAAGTAGATTAGATTCAAAAATAAATAAATGTATTTGCTGGTGTATATTGTTTGCTGCTATTACTAGAATTTACAAAAAAAAAAAATCGTCAACAATATGTAAAACAACTGCACAAAACACATTTCTACAATAATCTTCTGTAACCTCTTCAACATTAAACAATGTTCCAAAATTTAAATTGTTGTTTTAAAAGATTCTATGAAAAATTCTACAAACTTCGACAATCTTTTATGATCTACTAAAACTTTCTATAAGAGAGTAAATGGAGATTGAATTCTAAAGAAAGAATGAAAGAAAATCAAGCTATATATCCTAATCTTTATCTTATTCAATTCCATCAGAAGAACAATCAACAATATTGTCTTTTAAATTAACTTTTTTAACCATTCATAGTATTGATTCAATTTTTGTATATATATGTTTATATATTCTTCTATCTAATACAATTGAAAACCAAATTATGCTTAATTTTTGTATAATGAGACTATAGTTTTTAGATTTATAGAATAAATAATTAATTTTTTAAATCCAACACTAATACTATTATATTGATATCTTCACACAAATAGCACTTGTATGCAATTCTTTTAAATATAAATATGTTTATTTTGCTTTGTATTATTAAAATTTTATAATTCATAACTATTCATACTTTAGATTCATTTATAGAAGAAATTGTAATTATGTATAGAGATAATTTTTTCAAAAAGAAATATATATATATATATATATATATATATATATCATGAATTGTTTGCCACCAACAACTTATATTTTTGATTAAAATAATAGGATTTATTTAATTTAAAATTTATGAATTTCATATTATATTATAGATTTATTTTATTTTATTTTGTCAAATATTTCTTTTAAAAAATTGTCATAGGATTATAAATCAATAAAATTTTGATAATTTTGAATTCATTAAAAAATCTTATTTTATGTACAAATTTAAAAAATAAAAACTTGTTTGTTAATAAAAACATCTTCAAAAAAAAGTATAGAATGATTTTAAAATCTAATTGTGAAGATTATATAATCTTTAATCTTAAAATATACTTATTTATAATTTTTTTATATAAATATTTTTTACTATTATATTGACTTATCAAAGCAATAGAAGGAGTAAAATTGTTTTTGTATTTTGTTTTGCTACACTTCAACAAAAAGTTGAGCCATCCTTTGATTGCTCAAGCACTTTATTATAAATGACATTGTGTATTAATTTGGCAACTCTTTTTTATTGTTATCTAGCAAAAAAATAATGTTTTTTTTTGGCATCCTTGAACTAGAGAATGCAACATATAAATAGTGGTGAAAGAAGACATCTTTTGTTAAATTTAGTCCAATATCTTTTATTGTCTGCTCTTGAAATTTGTTTATTGTTGTATAAGCTATGCATTATCAGAACAATTTTGACTTAAATTATAAGAAAGATTTAGCTTTTTTGTAATTAATAAGATTCTAAAATTTAATACAATGCAGCCAAAAATTTTCTTCATCGTCTTTTTAGCTTCAATAATTTAATTAATAAAATATTTAACATTTAGCCAAGTTCTATTACAAAAAAAAAATTGCTGAGACAAGATTATATAGAATCATCAAGGATGTACTAACTTTTAACATGAGATTATACAATGGCCACATGAATGCCTCCAATGTATTCATATATTCTATTTGAATCATCTTTATGACTTTTGGTTTTTGAATCTTGTCAACATCCTAAAATCTTAACTTTTTCTAATATGACTTTTAATTTTTGTTGTGTTTATTGTAACAACCTCATTATTGCAAATAGTCAAAATAACATATTTTCTTGAAAATTCCTTGCCTCCAAGATTAGTCTATATTCCAAGGTATGTCTTGTCAATTAAACTCACAATATCTTGCTATTCAAATAGTATGTTTGGTGGGCAATAAAATAATCTCCTTTGATAGATATGAATTTATTTTTACCAAAAATGAAAAGTTAATTAATAGACGTTCTATTTCAAAACTTGTAATGCATAGCATGTACATCAATTGTATACATATTGTTTTACAAACAAAGAATATGAACATATTTCCATATTTTGAACTTATTTATTGAATATGATACAATCTCTGATTTTGTGTCTTTTGGAATCATCAAGACGACTTGTTTGAAATTACATAATATTAAAAAAACAATGCCTCTAAATGACTCATTATTTTTTTATTATAGCTTAAAGTATTTTGTCTATTCTTTCAAATGCCATCATATTTATCATTGGAGCTTATTTGAAAGGATTAATCTAATTTTGGAAAAATATTTCTTAAAAGTGACTACCTCCAAATATTTCAAATCAATGTGCAATCTAATTCAATTGAGATTTTAAATCTAAAATTTGTCGTTCAACTTTTTTGCAACAATCAAATAATAATCCTCAAAAATGCAACTGCAAATGTAATTTTATCATGTATAATTTTTAATAGAATATTTTTGAAGTAATTTTTAAAATTTTTCTAAAGACCAATAATAGAAAAAACCTTTAAATCTAGTACAATGCATGCTTTAATTATTACTTCGTACAAATTAAGCTATTTAGTATTTAGAAAATGGATCTTTTATTCAATAATTGCATACAATTATACTACATTATTGTCAACTTATTGTTTAATAAGACTATTGATTTGCAGTTGCTTAAGAAGAACTAAAGGCAAAAGAAGGTTGAAATCAGCCATTTTTTTTTTCAAATATTTCTTATTCTTTTCTCAAAGGCAACAATAAAAGACTTTTGATTTTTTCTTCAACTAACTTTCTAATCCCATGTTGATAGAGCTTACGCTCCCATTCAAATAATAAGATTCATGTATTAAAGTTGTATAGTTTGAAAGGGTCTATTGATACTTCATATGTCAATATTGTAACAAAAAGAAAATGAAAAACTTTGTTTGTATTTTTACAACTTTAATTAGCCATTATTTATACTTATTATTATTATTATTATTATTATCATGCATATTAAAAACTACATATACAACCTTAAATGTCTTAAAGAAATGACCATCTAAATTTTGAAGTTCTTCAAACAATGTTGCTTTTTTCACTACCATAAAAAGTATTTAGACGATGTATTATTTATTGACTAAGGAGTTAATAAAGTATAAGCAATTAGCTGCAAAATATATGATTAATGCTTCTTCTAATCTTGATGTTCATTATTCTATTAAAATTTTATCAAAAAATCTTCATGTAATACTTCTCATACTTCTTATATTACCTTATTTTCTTCAAAGTATTTAATCAATATTATTCTCTTCAACCTCTTAAAATTCAAAATTTCTCTAACATCCTTATTTACATTAAATATATTTAATTTCTATTTGGATAAGTGGCACTATAATTGCATAATGGATGGAAATTTTTTATACATTCCAAAAATATTTAAGCTTAATATTGCTGCATATGCAAAGTGTAGAGTCTAAATGCAAAGTATAGAGTTATATACACGTTTGCAGATGCAAAGATATAGTGAACATCTAAATATTATTTAATTTTGTTACAATTATTTTAAAAAATGATACAATTGTGATTCTTTTAAATATACTTGATTTAAATTTTAACCACAAAAATAGAAGAATATTTATATATTTAAGATAAGAAAAAAAATAAATTTAAAAATATAAAAAAAATTAAATTAGATTTAAATTTTAAAATAATGCATTAAAAAGGGAAAATTTGCCTTACCTTCTTATTATTGTATCTAATGTGTTTTTAAATAAAATATAAATTTTAAGACACAACTTAGTAATTTTTTAGATTACATCCTTCTTATTCTTCAAAGAAACAACCATTATTATATTGTTAATTCATCAAATACTTATCTTTATTGCATTATATCTCTAAATTAAAATTATAGTGATAATGCTTTGTACACTAGTTGTTTTTTGTACAAAGGACATTTGAAGTTTGAATGCCACAAA